GATGCAGTCAGATTTTTTTTTTTCCTTAAAAATAAATAAATATATTTTAATTGCTGCTCATTCAGTGGAATTAGAAGAGTATGAAATCACTATAGTATAGCCCTACACCACACTAGGATTAATTGTTAGTCATCATAGATCTCACAAAATATTCAGAGTACTTGGGAAAGAGAGGAAGAAATCAGCACCAAATTTATGCTATTTTCCTTCCCAGTGTATTTTGGTTGCTATTACTGTCAGCATCTAATGGAAAAAAATGGTAAAATACAATGCTGAAGCTTTTGTTAATTAACAAGTAACTCCTAGTTAAACCGTTGTCAACGTAAATGTCCACTGAACTTTCAATGTCTTCTTAAAAACTTGTTTCAGAGGAATTTCATGTGGATTATTTAAATTAAAATAATCCACATGATTAAAACTTGTCACAGAGGAATTTCATGTGGATAATTAAACACTCTCTAAGCCTAGCTATCAAGAACATACCATATTCTGAGCTCACAAATTCAAATCTGAACTGTAGGCAAGGAATTCTAGAGCGTTCAATATTTAATTAAGATGCTTCTTGTAAAAGCTTAAGTGAAGCCACCTAATTAAAAAATGCTAATGTGGAGGTATAGGTTTTCCTTGTCAAAGGAAAGGTCTTATTCCTTCTTCTACATCTTTCTGGTCTGGTTCTGTTCTTTTTGAAGACAAACAATGCCTTATTAGAATAAGCTTGACTGCTATGAATAAAATATTTGAAATGCCACCATGCATACAAAAGCATAGCAGTTAAGGAATAATGAGGGGATATCAGTTCAGTTAGAAATGTTTCAGCAGCAACGTGAAATAAGCATTTTGCTGCACACAGCCAGCTTAAAGTAATAAGGTTTATTCTTCATCCCGATACAAGCAATTTGGTGAAGACTTAATTTTATCCCTTAATTTTTTTTTAATAAGAGTCAGCATTTAAAAGGAATAGCAGCTCAAACAGCATTATGCTTAGCTTTATTTTTCATAATTAAAAAAAATAAAGAAAAAATAAAGAACAATTTGTGAGAAATTAAAGACAAATAACATTTACTTGATTCTGATATTATTTATACAAAGGATCAGAGAAGTTCTGCACAGAACTCTGCCAGTACAACTCAAAACAAATTAATCTCACTATTCTGGAAAGGCTACTATGCTACACAAATGGGACAAAAAAAAATCAGCCTAAGGGAGCTTACAACTCATTCTGAAACCAAACCAACTACATTAGATGGGGGGCAGAGGAAATAATAGTGAGAGTTTCTCTTTCTACCTGTATTACTTACAGTGTTACATAGCTTAGTTTTAGTCACTTACATTTCTATTCGTTTGTGGGGTTTTTTTTGTTTGTTTGTTTGTTTTTGTTTTTGTTTTTTTAAGTGCATTTTAGTTCTTCTGCAGCTTGGTAAAATAAATTCCTTAATGCATAGATATTTATAAATATATCCTCGTTTTTTTCCCCTGGATGATGACTGTCAACCTAAAGCACCTTTACGTGGTGCTGGCACTGGGACTCCAGCTGCAGCTCAGAAAGCAATCCCTGGCTTGTTGTGGGCTCAGTACGCAGTAACAACCAAAGCCACCAACAAAACACTGGCCCACACTGATACAGATATCAAGACAGAACTCAAAGGCACTATCGTGTCACTTTGCAAAACCTCACTGCACTTACACAGATAACACTGTGTGGTTCTGGTCCTGCATCTCCAGGATTTATTGGAATCAGGAAAAGGCTGCAAACAGGATTAAGGACCAGAGGTGCCCTCAGAAGAAAGGCTAGACAGGCTGGGGCTACTCGGTCGGGGGAAGAAGGCTAAGAGATGGCATCTGCCATTTTACAAGCCACAGAGGAGGCAGAAATTTGGAAGATGATCACCTCATTAACTATACCTTGCAAAAGAAGAGCTAAAGTGACTCCTTGAAATCAGCAGATCAGTGAAGAAAAACAAACCAACCAACCTCCTCTTTCCCTCACAAAGCAGAGCAGCGACTTTCAAGACACTGTTGCTATGTACTTCCAACAGTGAAACGAGCTTGCTAAGAAACCTTTCTACGTGACAACTGAGTCCTACCTGCATACTCAGCTAGTTCGCGTACGACAGCAAAACAAACAAACAAACACCAAAAAAATCCAACAAAAAACAAACACGTTTTTAGCATCGAGCTTGAATATTCAATACGCAAGCACTCCAGCATGGTTTTCCACACTTTACTGACGCATTCATTGGGTTTCTCCCAGTGACTTCGGCAACTCTCGCCGTATCTCCGCGGCGGACCCTCCTCCCTACGCTCCCCTGGGCTCCGGCTGCACCCCACTCCCCTCTCTGCTCCCTTCGGGACTGAGCAGCCTCCCTCCGCGCAGAGCTGCTCGGCGCAGCCCAGGACTCAGCAGAGGGGGCACATACGGAGGAGAACGGGGGCTTACAGACCACGCGCCGCCCGTCCCCGTCGCCTACGGGCTCTCTCACCTGGGGCTTCGCAAGTTGCACGCCGCCTCCTCAGCATCGCTCTCCGCCACCGCCTCCTCCCCGATGTCGGGCAGGGTGATGAGGAGTGCCTTGCCGCCCGCCCAACTCCCGGCCTCCTCCGTGGCAGCGAGCAGCGGTCGCGGGGAACGCCTGCCGGCAGCCGGCGTACAGCTGCCTCCGGAGGGCGGGCGGAGGCTGCGGGCGGCCGGGCCGGGATCCGCGGCGGAACGGCGCAGTCTGACCAGGAGGGAGCTCAGCTCCAGCGCCGCCACCTTCATGGCAGCGAGGCGGGAGCCCCTTGCCCCCAGCCTGGCCCGACCCTGTCCTGTCCTCTCCTCCCCTCCTGCGTTGCTAAGCTAAACAAACCCAATAGGCGTTCACCGCCCAGGCAGAGCCGTCAGCCTACGCCTTGTGCTCGTGTCAGGTGTGAGATACTGGGCAATGGAAAAGACTTTTTTCCTTTAATTAGAAGTCCACCTCACCCTGAGGGGTAGAAATCAGCTGACTGCGCGTCAGTGCCCCACTTCAAGCCCTTTCTTCATCCACTGCACTCCTATTTGCACAAGGAAAGACTAAGAGGCAGGTAGGGCGAGTGACTCCACCAGCAGCCTTTCACAATGTGCCAGGCAGCTGCATCAGGAAGTACCAGTGTGGAAAGATGCCACCAGCCCAGCTCCTGTGACTGGGAGAGCAGCGGACTCAGGAACAACAGCTTGTGTAGGTTGGGGCAAACACTGCACTAGCAACATAGAGCTGTCTGTCTGGACAGAGAAAAGTATGGTTGTACCAGCAGCAACCTGGGCACACTGATGGCCAGTATTATAGTAGAGGCAAACAATGTGCCAGCTTAGAGACTGTGACAGCTAACATGGCCTCTGGCAGTAACCAGGAGAGCAGCAGGACCACACGTCAAAAAAGCCTTCACTACCTAAAAGGGTCTATAAGAAAGGAAGGAACTCTTTAGCATGAAAAGGTCCATAAAAGGCATCCAAATTTGCATCTATCCCTCACCCTGTCACAATGAAATTTACCAAAACACTTCTGGTGCGCAGCATTTGTCCTACCTGCATATCCCTTGTTTGGGAACTTGGAGCCCTAATGCACTTCTTCAGTAAAAAGAGATTCATGAAGATTCATTCATCTACTCCGGAACAGAACGTATTATGAATGTCATGAACTTGCTCATTACTCTCCATAATCTAAGAAACACAGCAATTAGTCAGGTTCCAACTCAGCTCTACAAACCTGAACATTCTACCTTACTCAAGCATTCTACCTCTTTAGATATCTTGATTTTAATACAGATCATTCCTCTTTATCTGAGATAGTATCTTTTATGCTACAAACGCGGTACTGCTTATCACCTATTTGATCTCTGTCTTCTCAGGAAATCACTATGAAGTGGTCTGATGCCACCTACTGTATAGAATCTAGGCAGTTCAGACATAGAGTGTTAATCCTGAAAGGATTTAAAACTCTTCATCATGGTAAGTAAGCCCGTTTACTTACCCTCAATAATACTGTCAAACAAATGTGTAGGAGTAAAACAAGGAAGACCAGGCAAACAGGGAAGAGTAATACAAAAATGTTATATATATTCATGTTTTACTATTGGCTCTGTGCTTAATGCTTTCATGATTTTTTTTTTTTAAACATTACTCTAATTCTTATTGTGACCATTCACAATGTGTTTTTTCCATGTAAATGATTTTAAACTGAGTTCAAAATTATAATATTTAGAATACTCATACTTTTATCATATAAATCAATTATCATTTACAAGTAATTGCACTGTTTGTATTAGCTGTATTGCATAAGTATCCATAACACATCTATCCACTGTTTAGAGACCAGTTATGGGGGTAGTTATATTTACAAATGTATCTTCATAGAATTTAGATCAGCTGTCATTTATCAGTTTAAGGGCCAGAAAAGACCATTTGATCATTTGATTTGACTTCTCGTATCATGTTTCACCTCAGTGTTTCTCTGCAAATTCTCTGCATCTTAATCAACATGTGAAATGCTAAGATATTCTGAACAGTTCATTTTCAAGCAAAGTGAGAAATTCTGCTATATTTTGACACTGCGGGGTTAGGAAACATAGGCTCCCTTTCATGGGTTGGTCTTTAAATAAGAGAAAGAACGATGGACAAGGTGCATCCCTGGCACCCCATCCTTACCGCCTTGCCTTCTCAGCTTTCATGGACTACACATGAAGAGTGAATTTGTCCCTTAGCCTGAAAAGGACGGAAAGATGAGATGAAAGCATCACAATGGGATAATCCTATTACTGTAATTAGGGAATCATTATCTATCACTTCACCTGTAAACAAACCTTTTGTTTTCACTTCAGGACCTCCTGAGCCAGTGAAAGTCGTCTGCTTTGCTTTCAACTCTTCTAGTGCACGCAAAACCCAGTTCATTGAATTTGTATTTCATTATTATTCATTTATATATTTTTATCAATGCCAGGGAGAAACAAAGAAGTAAAAGCAAATAAATAAATAAATGATTGAACAACTAAAAAAAAAAAAAAAAAAAAAAAGACAAAAAGACAAAAACAACCATCAGAGGAGAAATTAAACATTAATAGGGACAAAGGGACATGACTGTCTACAGCCCACTTTGCAATAAATTGTGCTCAAATGCTCCATAGAATCACAATGAGCATCAAACATAATAAACATTTTGGACAATTCTGGAGCATGCTTTGCTGGTTCTTAGCTCTCTCCAGATCAAGGTACTAGCATACAAGTTTGAACCTTAATGCCATGCAAGTGCTAACTACCCCAATTTTCTGTAAAGTATTTTAAGGAAGAAAATACCAAATGAGTGTATAACAAGTTACACTAAAGAATTCCTCTGGGTTTATCCATTTTCAAAGGCTTCAACTATAGAAATTATTTCCATGTCATTGTGCTTAATATAGAAAAATTTTTAGGTTTTCTATTTATTTTCCTTTGAGTTTTAAAAACAAGTTGTAGTGTCCATTCTGCTTTCTAGACAGGATTTGAAATTTTATCATTGCATCCTTTTCTATATACCCTGCTAATGTAGAGTCCATGGCTTTTCTGCATTACATCAGATGGATATTTTTTCAAGGACTTCAGTCATTCTCACTACTTTCCAGAATATCTCACATTGTTGATGCACATACTGAAATGACTATCAAATGCGATTACTTCAGTATAGGTGAACTACAATATCAGAAAGTACATGAACTTAGACAAGTAAATATAAATTATCAACTTTCAGTGTCTTATTCCAATATGACAATTTCTTTTTTTTTTTTTTCCCAGCTTTTACTGGAGACCTGCTAGTTTTCTAACATCAGAAAACTGAATTCAGCGCACTTTACTATCAGATTTAAGTGCCATCATTAACTGCTGACGAAATGCATTGATTCTTTCCTTCTGGACTGGCCAGTTCAAGATGCAGCGAGATCTGAACATTCCTCTTCTCAAGCAAAGTGCATGATTCAACTTGTAATCTTGTATATTATGAAGAAAGATCAGTATGATGGAGTCTCGACTTTGTTCAATAGCTTGCTGTAAAGCATGATGCACCTTAAACCTGAAGGAAAAGTAAGACAAAATTTTAAGTTCAGGTTTGGGAACAAATGAGATAGATCTTTTGATAGTGCATATAATAGCATGCTGTAAAATCAGGGTCTAAATTTGAAGTGAAGTCTTAATGTACGTTTTATGATATAAAACTCTCATTACTTACATCAAATTGGTTACATTTTAAATAAAGGATAAAGCATACTCTTAAAATGTAACCTAAGTCTACTGTCTTGACATAGCCATAATTAGCAAGGTTCCTTCAAATTCACTGCTGAAGAGTAGTGAAAAGATTTGCTTAAAGATATGTAAAAACGGATGCTGGTGATTGCACCATTGACTGCCCTGTTTCAAACACAGACTTTTAAGGAAAGCAATCTGCAAAGGTAATGGTTTCACATTTTGAAAAGAAAAAAGAAAGACATACATACAGAAGGGTTCAAATATCTACTAGTTTATATGTAGAGCAATTAAGTTTATTAAATTTGTAACTGTTCCAAAAGTAGGATATATTAAAGGAGAATTTGCATTGCATTTCTAATTAATTTAAATAGCAAAAAAAAAAAAAAAAAAAAAAAAAAAGATTACTTTATTAAAAATCTGTTAAGAAATTTCCCCTTTACATACAGTATTTTGTATTTTACTCACTTCCTGCACCATGGATCCTGTAAGAGATGTTCAGTCACAATAAAAATAATCTTCCTGCTCTTTCTTATGCTGTTAATTATAGCTTCAAATTCAGATATTCCTGCTTCAAAGTCTCGTTCTTCTAGACAAAACTTAACTTGAAATTGCTCATTTTCTTCCAGAGAGGTGAAGTTCGTCAACACCCAATCTGTGTCTTCTCTTGCATGAATAACATAGGCATCATAATCAAACACTCCCCGTAGTCTGTCAAGCTCTTTAAAGCCAAGTATTCGATTTACAGAAATATTCCAGTAGAAAGCTATTCTCCACCCTTCAAAATGGATGAGAAGAACGATGAAAATGAATTGCACCACAACAGTGGTAGTGATCACAAACAGAAGCTTAAATGGAGCGCTGTCTTTGCAGGCTGAGGTGTCAAAATGCAACACCAGAGTACTGTGATATTTAGGTGGGGTGTTACAAATGTACTGAGACTGCAATCCAGGTATATATGCTTGAGTGACATTTAGCCAACTAGCAAACCAAGCAATGCTTTCACAAGTGCAATCAAATGGGTTGGAATCCATCTCTAGTTTTCTCAGGCTCTTGAAAACTGGACCAAACACATCTTCTTCAACTGAGGTTATTAGATTTTTCTGAAGGTTCAACGTATTTAGAGAGTTTTGGTTATCAAATAAAGTTGCTGGCAGCAAATTCAAATTATTTGATCCTAAATCCAAATCTTTTAATCGATGCAGACCCTTGAAAACATGAACTGGAATTTCATCAAAGCCATTTGATTTTAAATTAAGAACATGCAAGTTGGGAAGGTCTTTTAAAAAAAGAACTGGACCTCCTGGATTTGCTTGTTTCCAAAGTCGAGCTAAATTATTGTGCTGCAAATCCAGAATATCGAGTTTGTAAAGTCCATCAAACAAGTCTTCCTTTATGTTCGCTAGGTTGTTATTGCTGATGTCCAGGACAGTCAGATTCCGTAGTGGATGAAAAGGTGAAGGAGAAATTGCCAGATTATTGCAACCTACCTTCCTTAACATCAGTTTGCTAAGACTTGGAACAAAAATAAATGATTCACTTTGCAAAGTCACGTTTCTGTTGTAAGAAAGATAAATATATTCTATATTATTGAGACCTTCAAACTCATGACCAGTGAGCACTTGATTAATTTCATTGAGACCAAGATCAAGAATTTTCAGTTGTCCCAACAAGGAAAATGCCCTACTTTCAACTGTAGAGATCCTTGTTTTTGTGAGATTGAGAACTTGCAAGCTGGAATTAGCAAGTGATACAAATGTTTTATTAGTTATTCTTTGCAAGTTTATGTTGCAGTTATAAAGACTTAAATATTTCAGGTTTTTCAGACCTGTGAACATGTTAGTCGTAATTTGTGGAAAATTGTTATGATCCATTATAAGGTACTCTAGGTTGTATAACCATTGGAAAGAAAAATCTTCAATTTTCCCAGTAAGTGCTTTTATCAGATTCAGATGTTTAATGCTGGACAATCCATAAAACAAACGTGAGGACACTTTAAAGATGTTATTATCCTCCAAGTTCAAGTACTCTAAATTTGACAGCCATTGGAATGAGTCATCCTCTATCACAGAGAGAGAGTTTTTTGAAAGGTTTAAAACTGTGAGGTTTGTTCCTTGTAGTCCCTGGAGAGTTAACCTGCTAATGTGTGAGAGCTTCACATGGCTCAGTGAGAGGTTCTGAATCGCTGTGTTTGATAATTCCGTACAAAGTTCCTTTGTGCTATTTTCACCAAGTTCCACATTGTTCAGTATAAGGCCAAACAGATTTCCAATTGCATGTAAACATCCTGTGTGAAACTAAAAGGAAAGGAAAAGAGAATTTTGACCTAAACAAGAGAGTTATATAAGAAAGTCGAACTTAAAGCCTAAATTTGGGAAGGTTATTCAAACAAGAGCATCAGGCAGACTGGAACTCCTGCACACTTTTTCCACATCTGAGTGTAGACAAACTTCTTGAAGTGGTATCTCATGTTCTAAAATTTGTAATATGGTCACCATGATTTTGAGTGGTACTCCTTTAGAATAAGATAAAAGGTTTCTTAGTGAGATGAGAGTTTGTTACAATTTTGCATTCAACTAGTAAAAATATTTCACTGTAAGTATCTTAGTAGTTGAGACAATGTTTCCATATCACTTTCTTTAATTGGTATCTTATAGGGATACACTGTAAAAAAGTTAACAAAGAAACAGTTTTTCTGCATGAGCACAATCTATATTCATGAAACAGGATACCACACACTTGCTTCCATGACATAAATCAGAAGTCACCATTACAGTGTTAGCCCCTCATCTTGGTTTCAGATATCAGTGGAATGATTAAATACTCCATTTATCAATGTGCATATAGTTGCTTTCCAGATATCAGTCTTGTAAAATCAGAGCAAGTTAAACTGACATAGAGTAACCTTTGCAATTGCATCTACTTAGTCATCTGCTGTACCCTTGTGTCAGTATGGCTATACATGCAGCCATATAGTGAACAAGATAGGGGACTACCCTAGCCATAAGTTAACCATGCCAACAAAACTGTAGTGTCTCCAGGTGATCTACTCTATATCCTCACTAAGGTTTGTACAAGTAAGGAGGAGAAGTGAAGCATCAATGGGAATAGAGAGAGAGAGAAATTGCCTCTCTCAACTGTTGTACAAACTTACGCCAACTCAAAATATTCTTGCAATTACAATGTAAAAGTTTATACAGATGAATCAACTGGAGAAAAAAAAAAAAATCACTATTCATGCAAGTTTAGAAATGCAGCGCTTACTCTTCAAAGGTTTGTATTTTAACTGAGAACAAGATTGAAAGCAACAAGGCAGGTGGCAGAGCCAACACACACTTAAAAAAACAAACAAACAAGTGGATATATTTTTCTGCAAAGATTATTTCTCTGGAGTACTATACTTGCATAAATGATGTTTCTTTGTGATAACCAGGGAGACCTATATTGTTTAACTAGTTTTGCATATTATACTTTTCCCCAACTTAGATTTTTTTTCAGCTATTCATCTTCAGTTCTAAAAAACAAACAAAAAACAAACAAACAAACAAAAAAAACCCCTGTGAAATACACTTGATGAGGGTTCACAGAGGTACTTGATCTAGCTCTTGCTTGAGGTCTCTGGTCTACATGAGACCAGCTCTTATTCAGTGGAAGGAAAATAATTTTGTATTACATCTGAAGATCAGGAGTAGTCCTATATACAATAGAATAGTTGCAGGTTTGATCTTGATAAATTCAAAATATAATCATAAAACAGAAGCCATACAACCACATATGTTAAATCAGAATAGTTCCATTTTATAATTACACCGGCTGAATTTCTACTGAAATGCTTCCTACCTTTTTCAGGGGGTTTGATGACAAATCAAGACTATTCAATGAAGTGTTGCTAAGAAATTTTAAGTCTTCTTTTTTTAACTCAGTGATTTGGTTGCTGTACAACACAAGGTCACGAAGGTTCTTCAGCTGTTGCTGCAATCCTAAATTTGCTGACTTCAAATGGTTATGAGATAGATCCAAAACATTCAAGTTCTGTAGAAAAGATGTAAATAAAAAAACCTTTTTATGTAATTAAAAAAGAACATTCTGAAATATTATACTAGAAATTGGTTGCAATACTCCAATGAAAATAAATTTGTCATAAAGAATTGCAGCTTTTCCACACCTGTAGGAAAAAGCTTTCTGTGTGCTCCAAACACCATCAACAAGGCAGTGGAAAAGGGAGGTCCACAACTTCAGTTCTTCTCCCTGCACTGTTTTGTATATAGTTGGAAGTCAGCAAGCACATTTTATGTAATTTAATTGGAATACTGAGAGTAAAACAAATGTTTGTACCTATCCCAAACATGCATACTCACTTTCTTTTCTCCTCAGGCCCTTCCTTTTACATGACTCCTGCCCACAAATATGCTACAGATAATACTTAACCAAACCCAACCAACCAGGAGAAACAAAGGCAATTAAAAGCCTTTTTATTTTCCCAATCCCCAAAGCCCTGGGATACAGTACATTTAGCCTAAGCATTGATCTTTACAGCCTGAGTTTTTACAGCTTGTCCTTGAGAATTTAGACTAGCAACCATCATTAGACTCATGAAACTCAGATTCCTGACCTCACCATACTTCACCAGAATAAATCCTGTATGGAGAGATGCTTTGACAAGATGCAGCAGAAAAAAAGCTACGGAGAGCGTTGACTCCCCAGACAACTGAGACTGCAGTGTATTTTAACACAATAAGACACTAAGCCTTTTCTTTGGAAAATCAACAAAGATCATATGCTGGGTATTTTCAAATGCAAATAGGCCTTGTACACACATGCAATAAATTCCCCATACATACTTTATTTACCAGGAAACGTATTTCTAAAGCTTACCTCCAGGGTTTTGAAAGGATCATTTCTTACTTCTATGATGTTGTATCCTAGATTGAGCTCAGTCAGGTTGCTGCAGGTAGCAAACACTCCATCAGGAAGTTCATGCAATTGATTGTGTTCTAGCTTTAAAATTTGCAACAGGGGCATATTTTTGCACAATTCTGGTAGCAGTTTAGAGATGATGTTGTATCCCGCATTTAAGTAAATCAGATTGCTGTACTGGGTCAGATTCTCAGGAGCAAGCTTTTTTAGCTGATTATGGGAAATGTCCAAACCTGTTATGTTGTTTGGAAGATCAGAAGGAATTTGTGTCAGCTTTAGGTGACTACAATCTGCCATTGTATTTCTAATCTGACATTGCTTTCCAACTGATGCACACAGTAAGCAAACAGACACCAGTTTGAAAGATAAGCTGTTCCAGCAATGAATAGAACATCCCATAGTTTTATCTGCAAAGGCAAAATGAACACATTAACAAATCAGAATTATTTTGACACAACTCATACTTTAAACTGAAGGCCTAAGCAAGACAAGCTCAAAAAATTCATGCAGTCTGAGCAAACATCATTTTTTCACCCATGAGGTATTATCCATTTTGGTGGAAAAGATGTGTGTAATAACCACTCTTCACTGAAAATAATTATGTTTAAAGAGCTACTAACCATTTGTCTATAACTACCACAAATTTCCAACAATTCTTCCTTTTCTAATTAATTTTGCATTGCTTTACTATGCATATAAATAATAATAAATGACAAATAAACGTACAAATAGTACGCAGCCCCCTCTGTGTTAATTACCTATGCCCTGAACTTTAATTGTGCTTAAAATATTTGAAGATACATGCACAGTAAGAACGCGCAGCCTCTTCTTTATTTTACAGTTCTTGCCTGTTCTTGTTTCACAAGCCAGCCACACAAAATTCAAACCATCTTTCCACCTTACTTAGGTTTTTGCTTGTCTAACTTCAGTTGCAGATAAAATAAAAGAAGGAATGCTAGACTATAGAAAGGCATATGAGCAGACAAAATGAATCTATACCAACCTTATAACTCACTTAGCTAGTCAGGAAAGTGAGAACCAAGATGTAGAGAAAATGCTCTTCATAGATTCAATGCATTTATACAAATGCTTTCACAAAAACATACTCTTTTTCATGGAATCACATTTTTTTTCCCCCAGAAAATTTTAAGAATTAACACATTCCTCATTATCTCAAGTACTTCCATTACGATATCAAAATCTGCTCACCAGTGCACTGATCTTCAATGGTACTGCCTGTTTAGGCACTACATTACATTTCTGATGAATCACAGACTTCTTCATATTTTATGCAGTTTCAATTTAGCCCTAATTCAATTTCAGTTTAAGACCCAAATTCATCTATTTTGTAATACAGCTTTACTGGAAGTGAAAATTAATTCCACACAAATTCTGATCTGAACAGAGCTGTAAGAACTCAGAATGGTGTGACTATCCTGCTCAGTCAGAGTTTGTCCAATTAAACAGCATTTCTGCTGATCAAGTGACTTCTGTATCATTTTCACCTGAATTATCTCCAACAATGGAAGAAGAAATAATTCAGGTGTGCTTCCCAGCATGTTTTTCTTTGCTTTCACAGATAGAGGTAAGCTTAGGTTCTGCTGCATTTATTCTTAAAAGTAAAAAATACTTCTATTATTCCCTCTAAAGTGATAAGTGTCTTCACAGTCCTCATATATACATATACCTACGGCCTTCTGCTATCAGGTTGGAGAACCTGCCCGCCATCCTCAGTTCAAGTCTCAGTATCATGGGCTCCCAGGAGAAAAATTGTGCCTGCTACAGATTACAGAAGAGGATTTTAACCTCATTGGGCCTTGGGGAACCCACAACAGCCTCTCCAAAGACAAACTCTGAGGATGACCCCTTGGTTCTGCAGGTCACATTTATCTATTCTTGAAAGTTGCCACTCATTAACACAATCTAGTCTCAAGCTCAAACTCCATGGAAAATTGCAAACATGAAATGAAATTAAGCCAGTACATTTGCACAGAAAAGCCTTTCTGAAGCGATAAAGAAAAAGCTTTCTGAACTGATGTTTTAAAGAGAAGAATTTTCAGCACATAACAAAACACTCCAGTGAACTGCAACCTGCAGTGCAACGAGGCTTCAGCAAGTCAGGCTGAGTAGCGTTCAGCCCCACAGGGGGCCTGCCTGTTCAGGGGGAGCATGTTAGGACTGCTCCAGCATTACAACAGCCAGAGGGGGACCTTGTGAGTGCTTTCTTGGGATCAACCTGACTTCATAGCGAAAGACCTTAGTTAAATCAAATGGGAACAAAGAGATAAGAGAAAGAAGGACTGAAAGCATTACAAAGCTGTGTTCAAAGGACTACAAAATACTGTTTAAGATAAGTCTTAATAAAAGTTAATTTTCTTACTAGGCACTGCATATGGACCTGCCCTGCTTCTTGCAGTTCAGACTGGTTCACTGCTCACCTGTGAGCAAACAGGAGACAGCAAACAACCCAACCTGGCAGTCTTGCAGGCAGGTACTGAACACAGTGACCCATCCCTCCATCTGAGGAAGATGAGATTGCTCCCTAATTGTTCTCATTTCATCTCTAAGTTGGAAAGAAGAAGAAATGCACTCACTATGCAAACCCCAACACTGCTCTTTGCCTGACCTCCAACAAGGCCAACAGGGCTGCCTTCTTGTGCTTGGCTATTTTCATTGAAGAAAGTCTGGAGACGGCTTGAACTGTTTTATGCTTTCATTGGAAACCTGGAGAAGTAAATATTATCAGATTTAAAAGGCAAGGTTACAGAATAACTTTTAAGGGTAAACAGACAGAACAGGATTTCTCAGTGATACCAGCAAGAATCTTTAAAAATGCAGAACTGCAGCATCTCACAGAGAGGGACATTCCTGCTCCTTCACTATTGCTTCTTTTACAGCAGAACTCCCTCAGCCAGCTGGGACTCCACCGCTGGGCACAAGCACGTTCTCATGAAGCAAAAAGCAATAGCACCGACTTTGCTAACTTGCTTTTTACAAATTAAGAGAAAGCCACAAGCCACGAAATCGCCAAACTCCGGAGCAGAACTTCAGCTTCGCCGTCTGACACCCTCGTTATTACCGATAACGGAAGAAAGACACGCAGTTACCTCGGTGGGCTTCACCTCCTCCAGCGTGGAGCCGCCGGCGCTTCAGCACGAAAACCGCGAGGTGAGGCCGTCCGGGGCCGGAAGGAGAAGCGAAAGTGAAAGCGGGGACAGGCGGGGCGCGGCTGCTGGCAGCACGGTATGCAACATCGGGAGACTGCATTACGGCCCGGGCTGATACCCAAGGCTCTGGAAAGATGTGGGCCAATATCCCAAAAGCAGACGGGATGTTGCTGCTGTGGAGATATTTCTCTTATTGTGAAAACAGTTCTCAGTAAGGATCCTTTGGAACCACATAAATATCACTTCTTCAAAAGGGAATTTATGTGATGGTACAGTATATTAATTTTAATAAGTAAACAATGAGACCTTTTCTATTACATTGAAGTAAGAAATTGTTTTTTAAAAGTCCCAATAAATGTTTCAGATATGCTTTTAACAGCATTTGTAAGTTCACATTTTCCAGTGACGTAGCTACCACTTCTCTGGAGAGGATTTACTCAGTGTGTTCCTAGGGCCACGACAGCAGGCGCTGCTGATTGATGTACCAGCACTGCTGCACCAGCGCGTCACAGATACTGAGGCCTCTCCCTCAGGAGCCCTCTGCAGGGCTCACCCAGCCAGGTGCTCAGCATATAGCCATAGCACTGAGTTCAGTTCATTTTCAGCCTGACAGAAGTTAGTCCTAATTCTCAGTGTTAAGATTCCAAAATGGAAAACAGAACCATACTCATTTACAGCAGAAAGGCCTGTTTTATTCCCATTTCACAACTGTGGGAAGAGCAAATTTGTTCCATGCTCCACCATATGCTTCAGCACTGGTAAGTTGACTCTCGGTGCAGTCACACTAAAATACTCTGAGGAGAATTTTCCCCTGTGTTCTACTACTCTGCTGTTCTGTAACCTCTGGAAAAGACTGCATTGAGAGTAATGAATACTCTCAATGTATATTATATATAGATATATATAATATATATTATTATATATATATAATATATATATATATAATATATATAGATATATAGTTATATCAACAATAACTAACAGCTTACAGAGAGTATTGTTCCAACAGAGCAGTATTATCAAATATTCTGCATCTTTTCTATCTCTGGACCATACCCTTTGTCAACACAAAACCTTTATTTCACGTTTTTACTGATTCCTGCTCAATACTCTCTTCCTTTTTTTTCATGATTGACAAGAACTAGCAGATACTAATGTGCAAGGCAGACTCAAGAGTGAACACAATTGTGCAAATTCAGCAAGCACAGGGTTTCTGAGGCAGAGGACACACCTATGCTTATTTAAGTGGCTTGTAAACACATAAAGTTCTCAAGCTTCCATAACTTCAGTGTAAATAAATGATACTTAGATTTTCAAGAGCTGGAAAGGACATGACAAATTCGTAACAGCATAAAGTCAAGCACACTGCTTGCCCAGAAAATACAGAGAAAAAGCAGGGCAAAATTAAGCAATACCTTCATGCAGTGTTTGAAGATAACAGCTCAAGTCAATCAGTTCTGAGTGATGACATAAAGCAGACAGGCACTATCTTGCAGAGGTGGCCATTTCACACATACCTAGCAGCAGAGAGGAACCAGATCTGGTTTAGGCTTCCCTGGGCTCTAAGCACTGAAGTGTGGGGATGTATGTGCTCAAGGAGCACTCCCAGAACAAACATGCCACCACAGCTTAGCCTAGAACAAAGCAAAAAGAATTCTGCTGATCTTAATCTGGCTTTCAAATACATACAAGTGCTAACACAGTAGCACCTGATTATAGTTGTGACTTCAGCATTTTCATAACCTGCAGATGAGACGTGGAAGAGCCAAGATAACAAAACATTCACAGTCACTACCTCTGCCTATTAGCTTCATGGTAAGAGCACTATATACTGCAGTAGAGCTTAGACAGGATTTGTAGTTCTACTTGGACAAAAAAAAGCAGGAAACCAAAGACTTGTATAGTTAAGATCTTAGGCGAGGCTTGAGAAGTGACATTCTGCAATACAAACCAATTTTCTACCACTAGGGATAGACGAATAGATGTTTTCCTGGCATTGTTATAAGACAAATTCAGCTTTGTTCACTTGAGCTGCTGAGGAATCTAACAGGTCATGTGCTTTAGGTTCTGGGAAGGCTACTCATTAATCACTGCTTATTTAGCAGTGGAAGGCTGTAATATCTGATTTACTGCATTAAAATTTTATTGCTACAGAAGGGCAATAGTGCAGATCTGAGGCTTAAGATGCAGATCCCTGAAAAAGGAGACTATATACCCTAACTCCTGGGTGCTATTTGAAGACAGGAGAATATTTTGATGCATTTCTTTTTCCCAGCTGAAGACATTGCCTGGGTGGGTGGCTGAGAATTCTGCCATTGTTCGGGACTTAAGCAACCCAGTAGCCAGCAGTAAGCAGTAGATATGACTGAACTATTTATCACCTCTAAATTCAAGTTACAATGGACATGGAAATTCTGCAGCATCTGCTCACCAGTTCTGGCAGTGGTTTATTCCTTCCTGATGCATTGCAATGACTGAAGATCAATTGCAACTGCAGAGTAAATCACATTTACCACAGGACAAACTGCACTTCACTTCCCACCCAGGGAATCCTAATTCCAGAGAAGCCTGGGGCACTTTAAGATTAACATTTTAGTCTAGGTTAGAAAAAGTAAAAAGGCATCAATTCAGTATTTCCACTTTCGAAGAAGTGTTGGTGTTTCATATATGTACAACTTCATTTTTTTTTTTTTTTTCAAATATATTTTGAAATGAAACATTTTAGCTTTTTATATACCAAAGTATTCAAAGGACTGGAGTTTTAACCTCTCATGTGTTCTCATGTTGTAGAAAAAAAAATTGGTAATTTCTGTCTCTAAAAATATTCCACTGAAGTTGACAACATTCCTAAAATCTTATTCTTATCCAGCTTTACCATGCATGCACAGTCAATAATTTTCATTTGCAATAGTTTCTATTTCCCAGGATCTCCTTACAGCATTTAACTGTCTGGTTTCAGAATCCCTTCCTTTTTTGCTGTTCCTCCTTTATCTGCAGGTGTTCACAGTGTATTTGTAACAAAAATAAATCGTATCCCAAGTATGATCAGATGCTACTGTCCCCACACCAATTGGCTTCACTGACCACAACAAACCTTAAAGTGTAAGACAGTACAAGTTTTTGCTTTACACTTCGTGGAAAGCAAACATTAGCATAAATCTATCACTTAGAAATATTTTCCTACTAAAGATTATGCTTTTAAAGGCAACGTGACTGCTGGCTTTTAAACTTAGGAACCACATCTGTCTTGATCTGAAGTTGATCTGTCCTTTCAATAATTTCTGTATTCAAAGATACCTAAAACATTTTGCACTGCACCTTCTCCTCAATATTCAGTGTCCTGAAAATCTTAGAAGCCCAGATTTACTTAGAGCTCAAAGAAGTAAGATGTGCAAGAGAGGAACAAAAAAAGGACTGAAGTCCTTTGACATGGTCCCCCACTACATCCTTATCTCCAAATTGGAGGGATGTGGATTTGACGGCTGGACCACTTGATGGATAAGGAAATGGTTGAAAGGATGCGGACAGAGAGTGGTTATTAAAGGTTCTATGTCCAAGTGGAGGCCAGTAATGAGTGGCATCCCCCAGGAGTCCGTCTTAGGACTGGTGCTCTTTAACATCTTTGTCAATGACATTGATGATGGAATTGAGTGCACCCTCAGGAAGTTTGCTAGTGACACCAAGCTGAGTGGTGCAGCTGACACAGTGAAAGGAAAGGATGCCATTCAGAGGGACCTCAACAGACTTCAGAGGTAGGCCCGGGTGAATCTAATGAGGTTCAACACAGCAAAGTGCAAGGCTTTGTACTTGGGCCGGAGGAATCCCAGGCATCCATACAGACTGGAAGGAGTGGTCTTTAAGAGCAGCCCTGCAGAGAAGCACCTGGTGGATGAAACACTGAACATGAGCCAGCAGTGTGCTCTTGCAGCTTGGAAAGCAGAAGGTATCCTGGGCTCCATCAGAAGAGGAGTGGCCAGTAGGGACAGGGAGGTGATTGTCCCCCTCTATTCTGCTCTTGTGAGGCCCCATCTGGAGTACTGTGTCTAGGTCTCAGGCCCCCAGTACAAGAAAGACAGGGAGCTGTTGGAGAGGGTCCAGGTGAGAGCCACAAAGATGATCAGAGGGTTGGAGCACCTCCCCTACAAAGACATGCTGAGGGAGCTGGGCTTTTTCAGCCTGGAGAAAAGGCTGCAGGGTGACCTCACTGCAGCCTCTCAGTACCTAAAGGAAGCCTACAAACAGGAGGGGAATCAACTCCTTGAAAGGGTAGATAACAGCAGGACAAGGGGAAATGGTTTTAAGTTGAGGGAGGGAAGATTTAGGTTGGATGTCAGGGGGAAATTCTTTACAGAGAGAGTGGTGAGGTGCTGGTGCTTCAGGCTGCCTGAAGAGGTTGTGGATGCCCTGTCCATGGAGGTGTTCAAGGCCAGTTTGGATGGGGCCCTGGGCAGCCTGGTCTAGTACTAAATGTGGTCTAGTACTGCTTGTGGAGGGGGGAGTTGGGGATTCACGATCCTTGTGATCCCTTCCAACCTGGGCCATTCTGCAATTCTGAAAATGAAGACAAACACACTCACACGTTCCACCCTTCTTCTCCTCACATTTAAGAAACATGTGTCTGTGCTGACAGTCTACTTCAAATGCAAAACAACTTCTTTAAAATGACCACAGGAACATCTGTTGCCCACACCAATTCAGTGTTGCTTCTGTCATTAAATTATAGTACAAGTAGAAAAAATATCCTTCAGGTTCTCTTTTCGTTTCCAAAATAAATGCATTTTCAACTGTATCAAATCTCAGTGTAATGAAAGGATATGCCAGCAATCACCAGGTATATCATATCAACCATGCACTGGATGTGATGTATTTCACTTACAAGTTGCCAGACACATCAAAAGTTTGCTTTTAAATGCAGTGAATGTTTTTTTTCTAGTCCTCCAGAAATATTATGTAACTCCAGTGATCAAAAAAAATGATCCTACTTCTATATATTCTGCCTACAGTTGAAGGAGTGATGGCAATACTCCATTTTATTGTGAAGGATTCAACACTGGTAGTATGTTGCTCCCAAAAGAAATTTAACTTGTTTAAGGCTACCTAAAATTGTATCATGTTGTATTTGGTAATTAGTTTTTAGTTTGCTTAAGAAATTTCAAGAGGTGTTGTACAGGAGCAACTAATTGGCCAAAACTTTTGAGAAAAAATTACCAAATTTTTTGAACATGCCCATTTTGTTTTAATACACTTGGAGTAGTTTATGTTTGTAATGGTAAAGATGTCCCATACAAATTACGTATAACAAATGTAACACAGCAGTGAAGATGAACAATAGCGAAGGATGAACTGGCATTGTTGAACTGAAATTTCTGCTCTACAAGTGTTATTTACATCTCAGTTCTTCATTCTGAACTAGAATTATGGCCATTTGACTCCAACTAACCACCTTCCGGGCTTTTCTCCAACAGTGCCGTTGCACAGCCTGCACTCTTTACAAGTGGCTGAAAGGGAGCAAAACCCACATTTATGGGGAAGAAAAGGAAGATCAATCATAATCACTATTAAAACTACCAGACTTTATACTCATTAGGTTCAAATCTGAGGACTGAATATCAGTATCAGCACATTTTTATTAAATTCATATGCAGCACTTAAAATCTATTGCTATTTATAAATTAAGATTGTGAAATCTTTTATCCATAAATACGGAACAATATCTTTCAATTCCTTCTAGACAGAACAAAGGCACAAAAAAAGGAAGTATATCTGGTTATAACTAGCTAAATAAACCCCACACATTTAACAATTGATGCACAGTTAAAATTCATTTAAATTGCAAGGCAATTCTTACGTAAGTATTGGAAATATGACTATTTCAGACAGGAGGATGGAATCCAGCAAAGAAGAACGGGATCTGACTCAGTAGATTTGGAGGATTTTTTACCTACTTCAGTAGGTGCTTTGAGCATATAAAAATACATTTGGAAAAATTTGTTTGCAAATACAAACGAACAGTTGTGCACAAATTATATACTTTCATGCTTGCTAGTCACTATGCTGCTCTCCATTAACCATGCTGAGAGGGGATTTGATTACCTTATGCCCTGGTCACTTGGCTGTAATTTTGACTCAGGGGGGAATTTAAAGGAAAAACAATATGACAATCAGACTGATCTGCTGAAGTATCAGCTGGTACTTGAGAAGGATATAAATTCACAGAGAAGACAAGGTGAAATCCTTTTTTTTTTTTTTTTTTTTTTTTTTTTTTTTTTTTT